TAATACAGTAACAGTAACTGTGAAATAAGAATGACATACAGTATATAAAATAAAACAATTTTATTCGAGTAAATCATTATTTGTTGAAAATATGGTTGTATTCCTAATAAATATATATCCACTTAATTGTAATTATTTTGTTAATAATTTCAACAAAATTTCATTCAAATGTATTACAAATTAAAATTATATTCTTTTAAATCAAAGTTAAGTTATAATTAATTTTAATAGTTATCTAATATCTGATAATGTATTCAATATAATAAGTGGGGCTTAAGATTAAAACTTTAATAACATTGATGTAAGACTTAAAATCGTAATTAAGATCTGAAATACAGCACTGTTTTGGTTGTATTGGCGAGAAATGCACAATCATTTCGTGAAACACCTGAATCTGTTTTAAACCTTAATTTTAAAATATAACAAAAACACAATAAAGTTCTGATAATTATAATAAGTATTGGCATAATTGTAATCAAATTTATAATATATTTCACGTATTATTATATAATTAATATATATCTAAGAATAACACCTAAAGGAAAGCCGTTAAAACTGATCAAAAAAGCCCCGAATTTAATAGAATAATAATTTGTATATATTTTGTGAATTTTTCAAATGATATTTAAGATTAATTTACAAAATGAATGCGATTTTACGTAATAATGAATGCTGTGATGAATAAACAAAACAATGAAATAGTTTTAGAATAACAGTTAGTTTTGATCAGCAGTTGGACAGTCGTCTCGATGGCAGACAACTGCCAGAAATGATAAACAATTAAAGTGGCGAAAGAGCTACACATTTAACCATTAATTCCCAAATAGAGTAGAGTATGTGAGCGGAGGTGACTGTGTGATGAGTGTTAGCACAGTTAGCCTAATGTTAGAGCTCCATGTCCTTCGTCTCGTCGTCCGAGAAGTCACTCATCGTTGACTCACTGCTGTCCGACTCGTCCTCCTCTCCCCTCAACGCGTCTTCGGTGGCGTACTTCTTGACGTACTCTACGAACACAGCAGTGCATTGAGCACAGGGAGGGCTAGGGTGAGGTGAGTGAGGCATACCTTGTACTTTGCGTTTGTATTCCTCTGGCTTATGGAGATACATGGCCGCAGCGTCACCATTGAGGGGGTCGATGGGGTTGGGGTACGTCAGCAGTTGAGGTAAGAATGATTCAAAGATATTGGAAAGATCGTAGAGGGCTGTCCACGCCTGGTTTATCACATCCAAACATACCGTTCCTGACCTGTACACCAACACACATACCATTATACCATTGAGACAATCACTGCCACCACTGTCCCCCACCAGACACTTACACTTCATCGATGTTCGGGTGATATATCTTATTCATGAATCCAATGGACGGTGACTTAAACGGGTACTTCTCGGGCAAATCGACCCTCACTTTCCAGACTCCGCCCTCATATGAAGCTATCATTGAAATACAGACATAGGTGTGAATGGTATGGAGGGTGGGGTGGAAGACATGAAGACATGAAGACATGAAGACATACTTCCTTTGGGTCCATAGAACTTGACGCAGAACTCGTTGAGTCCGCCCAAAATGGTCACCTCGTGCTTGGATTCAATGCTAGTGACAGACAAACAGTAAGACAATGAGACAAAGAGGCCATTGAGTGGCCGTTGCATTCACTGAAGGCTGCGTTCACTTCAATGTCTGAATGCAAGACCACTTGAAGACAACAATGAAAAGACAATTCACTGTAATATACGTAACAGTAATGCAGTGAATGTCGTACTCAGCCATAGCTTACAGTTTAAGGACATCCGTATCCATACGACGCTTACCAGCCGATGGCGAAGACATCTTCTCCACACCAGTACTCACCACGAGATCAGCGCACAGATCACCACTCGATGCACACCACTAGTCACTGGATTGGCGTCAATACAGCACACAATGGATCCGATTTGACCACAAATACAGTGATATTGCAGACACAGACACACAGACCATACAAACCATACAAACACTCATTCAGTCATTGAGTTCGCAGTGATTCGCAGCTGACGTCAAGTCATATCATATGAGACTCACAGACCCTCNTTACGTGAGTTAAAGGCATTCATAGATCTAATGAGCGATTCACTGATGTATTCATTGATTGACTGATTGTTTCAGTCTTTGACTAAAATATATAACAAAATACTGAAGAATTTGCGGAAAATGCCCGAAGAATGCGCTTACAAGAGGTACACCTCTCACACTATCAACGAGAGACTGGCTATTGTCCAAAAGGTGACCATCGCTTGCCATCATTACAGTCTATACACTATAAGACTTATGTGACTGTCGTTTGTTTGTCTTCAGGAGAAAGAGGCCGAAGTGATTGAGCAGAAGATCGGCTGCGGAGTGATCGAAGAGCTCATAGTTCAGGCCGAGAGTGAGCTGTTGCTGTCCCACAGGATACTGGACACCAAGGCTTGGCAGCCCTTACAGACCAACCCACCGCCAAACCAGTGGAAGTGGCCTATTGTCTAACCATTACTTATTTGCAATAGTCTCAAGAAGTGTTTGTTTATAGCAATTACACAAACATTAGAATCAATGAGAGATATTTGAGTCGAGAATGATATGTAATTTTAGTGGAATTCAAATTCAATAAAATATTCATTAATTGGTTGAGCATTGAGTCTATGACTGATCTGTGATTGACTTCTTTGTCGTTCAACTCCTCATATAAGAAGTGGTTTTCGTAATCATCACAAAGATCTGCATATTTGTAGTGTTATATCAAAGCATATCTCTGTCTCACAATACAATATACAGTATGATGTATGGGTCACCTCGTCGTCTGCTTATTCCTTAATTGTATAATACATTTGTTAGACAATTAGAGTTTAGACTTAAAAATGATAGTATTGTTCATAAATGAATAGCTCATTCATTGAATAAAATAAAAATTAATTCGTAAAAATAATTTAGAAAATATAAAGATTGCATTCTTTCCAAAATTGTTTGTACCGTATCAGTACAGTATGGTTTGTCCAAACTTTCACTTAAATTACATAATTATTAACTGTATAAACTATATTATTCCACTGTTGAGTCTCGACATACAGTATAATTTATTGTTATAGAATTTAAGAAAAGTATCTAGTACAGTACCGTAGTTTCTGTGATCAAGTCATTTGGACAGACTAATCATTGAGATATAGACATCATAGAGTGTTTTTTAGCAATGTATTTTTAAATATAAGTTAAATTAGATATGATATACTGTATTGCAAAATTAAACTCATTATTAGATTTATTTAATACAAATAGTTTATTTATTTATTGTGTGGGAATGGGATGAGAATTGCATTTTTGCAAAATGCTCCCAAATGAATCACCAACTTACTGGTTAGGAATTGTCATACTATTTGAATATTAAATTCAATAATGACATAAACATTGATGAGTGATTGTACCGTACTTACGATTAGATACTGTATTACTATAATTACCGGTATGTTATTAAAATCCTGAATGCGATTTGATTTGACAAGTACAATGTAAATGTGAATATTGTGATGATTGATGTGAACTTGGACAACGATGACTTATTATATTTTGAAAACTACTGTAATATTTGGTAAATTGGTTAATATGAGCATGGTAAATTACCGTAATACAGTAACAGTAACTGTGAAATAAGAATGACATACAGTATATAAAATAAAACAATTTTATTCGAGTAAATCATTATTTGTTGAAAATATGGTTGTATTCCTAATAAATATATATCCACTTAAT